ATTTATACTAAAACATATATTTAATACCTAAATACAAATATTAAAAAAAAAAAAAAAACCACACACATACACACGTCCATTTGTGATGGTTGTTGCAGTTACTATTATAGCTGAGAAAGCCAGTGTGGCTTTCGTCTTCTCTAAGAAGCTATAGAGTAATGGAAAAGGGAAATCCCTGAGAACTCAAAAGAAAAAAAGAAAGAAAAAATCATAGCAAAAAGAAAGAAAGAAGCACATTATTCCATTGCAAGAATCGCAAAGATTTTGCTTCCTTTTCACGTCTCTTTCTCTTTTGATGCTGACTGTTTCGCCATTAAAGCTCTCACTCCCTTCCCCACCTGAAAATCGCTACTTCCTTCCAGGAGGCTTCTCTTCTCGTCTCTTCTCTTCTTCACCCTATAAAACCCATTTTCAGTAGTGTCCTTGCGTACCCATTTGGGCTTCTCTTCGGTTATGGCGAAGGGTGGGGAAGTTTATGCTGCTCTGTTTTTGCTCGTTCTTCTTCGGTGTAAATTCTTTGCGTTTGCGATTTTAAACCCGCTTGATTTCTTGGCTCTGCAATCCATCAGGAAATCGCTGGATGATTTGCCTGGCTCCAATTTCTTTGCTTCCTGGGATTTCACTTCGGACCCCTGCAACTTCGCCGGTGTTTATTGTGAGTCGGATAGGGTGATTGCTCTTAATCTTGGCGATCCGCGGGCGGGTTCGCCGGGTTTGACAGGGAGGATTGATCCGGCGATCGGGAAACTGTCTACTTTGGCTGAGTTGTCCATTGTTCCTGGCAGGATAATCGGGTCTCTGCCGCAGTCTATCTCACAGTTGAAGGGGCTTCGGTTTCTTGCCATGAGCAGGAACTTCATCTCCGGAGCGATTCCAGCGACTTTCGCGGACCTGAGGAATCTTAAAACACTTGATCTTAGCTACAATCAACTTACCGGAAAAATCCCTTGGTCGGTTGGGACTTTGCCGGAGCTCTCCAACGTCATTCTCTGCCACAACCGCCTTTCCGGCTCGGTCCCTCCTTTCCACTCCCAAACCTTAACCCGGCTTGACCTGAAACACAACGCCCTCTCCGGTCCGTTGGCGCCGCACTCCCTTCCCGGTTCTCTCCAATACCTCTCTCTCTCCTGGAACCGACTCAGCGGACCGGTGGGCCAACTCCTGACCCAGCTCGACCACCTAAACTATCTCGACTTGAGCGTGAACCAGTTCACGGGTCCCATTCCGGGTCGGATATTCTCGTTCCCCATTACCGACCTTCAACTCCAGAGGAACTCGTTCACAGGTTCCGTCCGGCCGGCTAATCAGGTGACAATCACGACGGTCGATCTTAGCTACAACAGATTGTGGGGCCAAATATCTCCCATGCTCTCGACGGTACAGAATCTATACCTGAACAATAACCGGTTTACGGGTCAGGTTCCGGGTAGCTTCGTGGACCGGATACTGGACGCCAGCATTCAGATACTGTATCTGCAGCACAATTATCTGACCGGAATAGCGATCAATCCGATGGCTGAGATTCCTCTAAGTTCATCACTGTGTCTACAGTATAACTGTATGGTCCCGCCGGTGCAGACGCCGTGCCCGTTGAAGTCCGGAAAGCAGAAGACGAGACCCACTTCGCAGTGTAACGAGTTGAAGGGGTAGAGTTGCAGATTCGGCACCTTGTTGGGGGTATTTTGGGAAGAGAGGATAAACTGGGATTTTGTCATTCATTTTTTATTTAATTTTGTGATTTGTGGGTAGTTACTACTAATTAGGTAAATTGATGAATAAGAGAGTTGTTGATACTAAAAATGTTTATTTGATGAGTTTTGATACTTAAGAAATTGTAATCTTATGATAAATTACTCTAGACAAAATATTTTGTTAGTTCAAATTATTAAATTTTGTTTTTAATTTTTAATAAGTTTTAGATTAATTTATATGTTTCTTGTAAAATATGATCATGTCTAAGCTTCCATGGATTGAATTTTTGCCAATAAGATCTCACCAGCAAAAGCATCGTAATCCTTTTGAATTTACTTGTGTGATCATATCTCACTATAAAAAAAAATGGACATTTTGTGATAGTAAAATTAATCATAAAAATCTAAATTTTAGATATAAATTTAATTTATAATAAAAAAAAAAGAAATTTTAATAACAAATCCTCAACAAAATCAAAATAAGGCCAATTTCCTTAAAATGTTTGATGTTTTCAAACTCTTTGTTTGTTTTTTATTAGGAAGAGATGGGGTGGGGTTCTTGAAGCTCAAATCATGGTTCTTGGTTTTGCAGCTTTCCAATGGCACAAGATGGCTGGAACGAGAGAAAAAGATGCTGATCATCATTGAGACCACAGTTCATGAACGAACTAACATTCATAAAAATGAGATGAGGCGATTAGGTGGGGGCTTGAAATAATATATAAAAGTTTGTGGGATCATGGAGTGAGGACCGAGAAAGTTTTTTTACAACCCATTTCTTGTCTGGTGTTCTTGGGGGAGTACAAGTTGTCCAGTCCTAGAAAGCTTAAGATGCATTTCCCATGAAGGCCATAGACCACCTTTTTAACATTGCAGGTCAACATGCTTGTAATTTTTAATGTTGTTTCTTCTTCGACATGTGCCCTCATCTCAATTATTTTGTTTGCATTAGTTACACTTGTATCGTATGGTAATAAAGAATAATGGGGTAAGTAAACTGATCCATGATATTATTTAACTGCTATACAAATAAAATATCATCAGTTGGTGACCTACAAATGCAACTTTAATTTTAAGGACTCACATCCCTAATTATGCTGTTTCCTTGAGTGTTCCCAATTCGGCGTTCTTTTGAATATGTTATTTTCCAATTATTAGATTTGTAGATGAGTTCTCAATCTGCCGGAGTTGGGGCCTTTGTTGACTCATGATGTGGGGGGCCCCTAATGTCTCTTGCCACCGACCCCAAGCAGCTTCCACAAGAATATAATCACTCCCAAAGTCAATAATGGGCACAAAAATATATGGCATTTGAGTGTCGCTTGGTCATCACGCTTAAAAGTAAGTATTCTTGCTTTTGGGAAAAAAACTTCTTCAAGTGAATTTTGATGAGTATTGATGATGATGAGTTCTTTGCATGAAAGGGAAGTATGAAAAACTGAAAAGGTAATTGTAAGATTACTAGCAACAAAAATCCTTGGACTCGTCCAAAAATGAGTGCAGTACCACATTGCGATGGCTTGAATCTTGAATTATATGTTAACCGTATGCAGTGTAACAAACGCATAATCTTTGACATTATTATTTATGTACATCTGAAATTTTGTGAATTTCGAAGTGTTTGTATGGTTCATGTTTTGTGATTAAGGATTACACCTTAGGTGGAGTTGCTATACAACCAATTTACCTTTCACTCTTCAGTAGTAATAAAACCTCTTCTTGTTTGCAGGGGCTGGTGTTTCTCCATTCCCAGGAAATTCCCACTTGACGATATCCCCATCCCAAGAGGAGCTGACCAACATTGGGTAATGAGGGTGCCAGCTACAGTCTCTTACAGGCGAACCATGGTACCTAAGTACGGCAACTTGCTCTCCACTCACCTACAATTAATCACTAGGTTACAATGAATAAAAGAGTAACTTGGCTGGACCATTGGATTACAAGAATGTGGGGAGATGATGATTCAACATGATGAGAAATGCATACGTTTTGCTGATTGAAAAATCAAAAGGAAATGGATAACTTCTATTTCCAACAATCCAAAGGTTTGAATATTTCTACTTAAGACTGTCATGCATAAGTTTCATTATTGTTTCCCCACTTAATATCTTGGGATCCAATATAAGTGATCCCAAAGAAATTGAAAAAGTTTTTTTTCTTTTTGCCAACAATTTAAGATGTAATTAAGAGGTAAAAAAATGGTACTATTAGATTTGCTTGCTTACCACATCATATACATAGACACAAGAATCATGAGATCCGGTGTAGATGTATCTTTGACCCGTGCTGCAACAAGAGATTCGACAAATTGATAGCAGGTTAATAAGTGTTTTAAACCAATTCCAGTTATAGAAAGTAGAAACTAAGAATTGACCAGTCACTCCAGCTGAAGATTATGTTAGAATATGGGGATAATTGGCAGGCCATGTAAATAAAGGTTAAACAAGCAATCACAAATTGGGGAGGCACATATGATCCAGATAAATAGGGCTGACTCCTACAAAGAGTTTTGCTAGGATGAGGCAAGATGATTATGATCCTGTTATTGTGTAAAATGGGAGCTAGAACACTCACCTGTATGCTGGGGAAAAGTAGCAGCGAATGAGAGTACGCAAGACTGAGTGACCTCTATATGTTGCCACTGATAGATCAAGTGGGTGTGTCATATCTCTTGCCTGAGGTCGGCAGTACATCCTTCTATGATCCCATTCATAATTCCGATGCACTAAATTGCTGGAACAACAAATGAGCTTAAGTATATATAGGTATTCAATCTGGATTTATGTTAAACAAAGCATCCTTTTGCTGAAATTTAAAGTCTTAAAGCATTCAGTTTGGACTTATTTAAAACTACCAGCAAACTTCCAACTGATCACAAATTACATTGTGTATGAAGATGTTATTGGGAAATTATTAGACATGCTATAATGAGGTTCTATTTTTGTGAACAGAACAAGTTTGGATACCACAGAAAGGCAGAATAAGCATACCAAGTAGCATTAGAGGACATTCTCCGGATATCCCAGAGCTTGAGAGTCTGATCTTTGCCATTTGAGATGAAATAACGACCATCTCCACGGCTGTCAATGAATGTAATACCTTCGAGGTGTCCCATCAGGACCCCTGCTGGCTTCCCTTTTTCAGTCAAGCACCTTCTATCCCACACCTAAACAAATTGAAAGCATGACCTCAATCAAAAGAGGGAGATAGAAAGATATAGAACATCTACATCCAGCACTTTGTCTGGGTGGCACGTAGCCCTATTCATTTCTACTCTTGTTTCTGTAATTGATTAATTAAGAAAAAAACTAGCCATTACTTATTAGAAGGGGTTTTACAGCATAACATATTAGCAGCCTAGATTGATCAAATGAAATAAAACTCAGTTTTCAACGCCCCCAAAAAACCATATTCAAGTTCCAAATCACAGTTTATTGAATACAGTGGTGGTCTTTGCATCCATCATCATTATCACCATCTCCCATCATTTTTCCCTCACCACATCAGTATCATTATAAACCTTAAATTTAGCCACCATTCTCTACCCCACAGTTACTAAGAATCCCAGTCAACATAACAGAGCATTAGCATCCAACATACCCTTTTGTTTACAGCTTTGAACTAACTCAGCATTCCATTTTCAAGGGCTGCTTAGTTAGGAATCTAAACTACTAACATGATGAATGATTCCAGGTTAGCATTGATATGGGAATGCAAGCAAGTTGCTCCCAGATACTCA